GTTTTCAATTTTGGTAAAATCTTGGAATTTTCCATTTTTCACTTCTTGAGCAAATTTTTTTCCGGAAAATTCGGGTATCAAATTGAAGCTCATAACCTTCTAAATTCAAAAAAAATTAACTAATTATCTAATTACCCCTAATTAAGTGCCTACGACGACCATCTAATGTGTCACACTCGTGGAGCCGTTGGATTATGTGTGTGCTCCAGTGCTCAACCGAGTTGCCACGATTTGTGGCCAACACAGAAGAATTCGGCAAGTCCCGGACCAAAAAATATGACGACTCATATCAAATGGATCGACACTGATGTCAATCAGATCAATGCGATTTCTCATGTGAGTATCTAAAAATTTTTTTTAACTTTTCAAAAATTTGAAATTTGAAATTTTCAAAAATCCGAAAAAAGCTCCCCGAGCACATTTTCTTGTCAATTAGGGTATCAAATTGAAGCTCATAATCTACTGAATTCAACAAAATTAGTTTCATCTCAAAGGTTTCATTTCAGAGAGTAACCGGCTTCTCCGCAGACTATGCTCGCAGTCGAGTTGGCCAGATGCGTGTGGAGCATTTCCCAGAGCAATTTCCAGGATCACCAGTTTCCTTTGCTCCTACTTTATCAGTATTTATCGTATTTCTGGCTACAGTAATCCTTTTTTAGCTACAGTAATCCTTTTGCTACTTTTTCAAATTCGAAAACGGGCGATTTCTTTCTTTGAAATAAAAATTTTTAGAGCATTTATCTTTTTCTAACTTAACGACTTGCAAGGTTTTATGTATCTTTTTTCTTCTGGTTTGAAAAGAGAAAAATGGAAAAAGACACTAAAATTTTATTTCATTTTTCGAGATTTTCTGCTCCCTTTCTCCTTTTTTTCCAAGATTTTCAAATGGAAAAGTACTGGTTTTGATGCTAATTCGATAATTTGATTTGTCTAGAGATATCCATGTCACTTTTTTTTGGGATCAGATGGAGCACTTGAACGCATCTCTCTATCTTTTTGATGGGAATTTGGAGATTTCAATTTTCTGATTTTTTTTTCTTGTAAAACCAGGGATTCACTATCATGGTGCATCGACAAAAATGAAATCCACATTTTCTGGGATGATATTCAATTTTCAGCAGTTTTCATTATTATGGTTAGATTCAACACAAAAGTCCATATCGAAATGACCTATTTACCGATTTCCGCATTTTTGGCTCAGACGGGTAGAGGGGCGACTGGCAATCTAGAGGTCAGGGGTTCGAACCCCACCGGGTCAAATCTTTTTTGTTTTTTTTTTCATAGTTTTTTTTAGATGTTCTAGAGAGGCTAGAAACCAAAAATGAGCCGTTTTGGGCTCCCTACATTAAATAATGCATTTTCGGGTATGAAAATCAATTTTCAGCAGATTTCATTATGATTTCTAGATTCAGAGCAAAATTCCACATCGAAATGACCTATTTACCGATTTTCGCATATTTGGCTCAACTGGGTAGAGGGATGATTGGCGATCTAGTGGTCAGGGGTTCGAACTCGCCTGCGGTATAATTATTGGAATCTTTGTCAAAATTATTTTAAACACCTTTTAGATACTTTCGAACTTTAAAAACTACACATTTCGGGAATTTTTTTTTGTTATTTTCAAAATTCCCGTTTTTGGTGCATTCATCTATACTTTTCAAATTATCTCGAGTTCTAAAAATGCAGGAACAAAACCAAATAGATTTTCAAATTCAACACAAAATTCCGCAGCGAAACGACCTTTTTACCGATTTTCGCATATTTGGCTCAACTGGGTACAGTGATGACTGGCGATCTAGTGGTCACGGGTTCGAACCCCACCTGACACAAATTTTTTGTTTTTCTTTTCAAAACGTCTTCCAAAAAAAAATAGATCGAAGCAACATGTACAACATGTATTTTGTAGTTTCGGCAATCTTGAAAGTTTGAGAATTTCGAAAATTATCAAAGAGGCACCATGTTTTTTGAGAATTATTGATTTCTGAAATTTGATTGATTTTGGCACAAAACTGTCTCACAGTGTATAAAAGATTCTAATTTTAAATTCCTAACTGTCAGATTTAGTAGTTACAGTACTGGTCTATTAGATATTCAGAAAAATATTGTATACCGTAAAACCTCTAATAGAACGGCACCGGGACCGCCCACTCTGACCGTATATATCTCATTTTCTGTGAAAGATATCAAAAAGTGGCTAACTAGTAAAATGTTGCTGATATCCTGATAAACATTTTACTACTCAACCACTTTTTGATATCTTTCAAAAGAAGTGAGATATATAGGCTCAAAGTGGACAATTCGGGTGTCGTTCTATTAGAGGTTTTACGGTATTTGCCGTTTTCCGAAGGACACAGTACGAAAACAGGTAAAATGTGTGTCTTTCAGAAATCAGCCAGTAACTGAAAAATTAGGAATTTTCTAAAAATTCTACAAATGCAAAGTTTTCAATCTAGGTCTGTTTTAAACCCTCCAAAATTTTCAAAGCGATCAGCAACTCGACAGCCAAGCTCCAGGCTCTTGAAAATTGTCAAAATGACCGAAAATCAACTGAAAATTAAGATGTCTGATAAACCGGTACTGTAGCTATTTTTCTGGAATCTCAATTATTTTGATGGGAAAACTGACGCTAAATTCAGAATCCTTCAGAAATTCAACAATTTTCCCATTCCAAAGTCCCCTTCACCTTCTTCTTATCTCCCTTTCTCCTGTCATTTTCGAAAAATGTGTCGCATTCTCTCCAGGGACATATTATCCACCGATCACATCTTCATCCCCCCTTTTTCCTTCCAATTTCTTCCTAGAAATTTTCCAATTTTTCTTTTTTTCACTCTCTTTTCCTGTGGTCCCAATATAATATCGTCATTTCCATTTCCCGCCTTTTCTTTTTTAGTGCTGGGAACACAAAATAAATAGGGTGACTGGAAAATTTATGAGGGGGCTTTTCGTTTTTTCTCGGTGGGATTGACTCCATTTTTTGGGTTTTTCTAGGGTTGGATCAGAGCTTTTTGGGGTACACAGTTCTTTTTTTTTTTTTTTTGGGAATTCGATTTTTTGAAAATTTCCATTTTCCTGACAATTCAGACACTTGGAATTTCTCGATTTTTTCTGAATTTCTGAATTTCTGAATTTCTGAATTTCTGAATTTCTGAATATCTGAATTTCTGAATTTCTGAGTTTCTGAATTTCTGAATTTCCTGAAATTTCTGAATTTCTGAATTTCTGAATTTCCGAATTTCTGAATTTCTGAATTTCTGAATTTCTGAATTTCTGAATTTCTGAATTTCTGAATTTCTGAATTTCTGAATTTCTGGAATTCAGAATTTCTGAATTTCTGAATTTCTGAATTTCTGAATTTCTGAATTTCTGAATTTCTGAATTTCTGAATTTCTGAATTTCTGAATTTCTGAATTTCTGGAATTTCAATCTTTAGAATTTTTGCTATTTAAAATTTTAAAAATTTAGATTCCAAATTCGAATTTTTTGTTTTTTGTGACATTTTCACAATCAGACAAGCCACAAAAATTTTGTATTCGGTCGAATGAATTTCTTCTTCTCATTTCTAGAAATTTCTAGAAATTCTCATGACTTCATTTTTGTTTTCTGTCATTGATTATTTTTCTTCTCATCAAAAGTGTTATTTTCGTAAAAACCGAATCTCGAAACGACCTGCTTATCGACTCATCGAAACGACCTGCTTATCGACTTTTGCATTTCTGGCTCAACTGGGTAGAGAGATGACTGGCGATCTAGAGGTCAGAGGTTCGAACCCCATCGGGGTTAACCTTTTTTGTTTTCTTTGTAAAACGTTTTTTAGTGTTCTGGAGGGACTAGAAACTAAAAATTACCCATTTTGAAATCAAAAACATGGTGCTTCGACCAAAAGGAAATTTGAATTTTCAAAACTGAAAATCTGTTTTCAGCGTATTTCACAAACATTTTGAAAGTCAGCACGAAATTCCACATCGAAAATACCTATTTACCGATTTTGGCATTTTTGGCTCAATTGGGTAGAGAAGTGACTGACGATCTAGAGGTCAGCGGTTCAAACCCCACCTGGGTCAAATCTTTTTGTTTTCTTTTTCAAACGTTTTTCAGTGTTTTTCATGTCAAAAAAAAGCTAAATTGAGAGCGATCAAAAATTCATAAAATACTTTGCTTGTCAATCTGTTTTTTTTGTGCCTCTTTTTTCCATCTGCCACCGACCGGAAATATTTCTGAATGATGTGAATAGTAGGAGGGCTCCAAATAAGAAAACTACAACCAAATATTTTTTCCAGACTCTTTTCTTCTTTTTTTTATTACTTTTCTCAAGATTCCGCCTCTCTAGAAAATATTTTAATAATTTTTTTTTTCATTTTGAGTTTCTAAAGTGTTTCTCAAGGTCCCTTCTTTTTCCTAAAAAGTAAATCCTTCTAGAAGAAAATTAGGGGGCGTGGCTTGGTCCATTTTAAATTGACCATGAGAAAATGGAGGAAAAATAATGATGATGCAGAAATAGAGCCTATTTTTTGGAACCTTTTTTACCTCAAAAAATAGAAAAATAGAAAAAAATTCAGATATTTTTTTAAATTCTGAAAATTCAGAAATTCAGAAATTCAGAAATTCAGAAATTCAGAAATTCAGAAATTCAGAAATTCAGAAATTCAGAAATTCAGAAATTCAGAAGTTCAGAAATTCAGAAATTCAGAAATTCAGAAATTCAGAAATTCAGAAATTCAGAAATTCAGAAATTCAGAAATTCAGAAATTCAGAAATTCAGAAATTCAGAAATTCAGAAATTCAGAAATTCAGAAATTCAGAAATTCAGAAATTCAGAAATTCAGAAATTCAGAAATTCAGAAATTCCAGAAATTCAGAAATTCAGAAATTCAGAAATTCAGAAATTCAGAAATTCTGAATTCTAGAAATTCAGAAATTCAGAAATTCAGAAATTCAGAAATTCAGAAATTCAGAAATTCAGAAATTCAGAAATTCAGAAATTCCAGAATATTAGAAATTCAGAAATTCAGATATTCCAGAATATTAGAAATTCAGAAATTCAGAAATTCCAGAATCCTTTCATTTTTGAACCTAAAAATAGTACATATAAGCTCGCTTGTTGTTTCTAATTGGTTTCTCCAATTACTCAATCAATTAGTAAAAGAAAAGAGAAAAAAGAAAGCATTTTCTTCTTTTTTCTTCTTTTTCTACCACAAGATGACCTTTTTCCTAAAAAAATTTGTCTAGGAAAATGGTAAGAAGGAGAAAAATAAAAAAAGGAAAATATCAATTTTGGATTTTCAAATTCAAATTTTTTGGTTTCTTTGAAATTCCAGATTTTTTCAGAATAGAAATTTTGTCATCTCAGTTTTTGAACTTTACAAATTTTTGAGAATACAAAGTTTGGATAATTTTGAGATGTTCTAGATTTTCTAAATTACTTGGAGTTCATAAAGTTTTTGATCTTTTCGAATTGTCAAATTTTGGGTGATTTGAAATTTCGGGTGAAATTTTGGATCATTCATAATTTTCAAATCATGGAAATTTAGTAATTTTTTGGAATTTTTGCCAAATTCTGGAATTTCCTGGAATTTCTGAATTTCTGAATTTCTGAATTTCTGAATTTCTGAATTTCTGAATTTCTGAATTTCTGAATTTCTGAATTTCTGAATTTCTGAAT